AAAGGTATGAATCGTGTGATTACAACATATGCCATGAGACTGAAGAGGAAGATGTCTTTAAAGCACTCAAACCTTTGTCTTTGCTATACAACTAAAATCCAAATAAATCTCTCACTAATTGATGATAAAAATTCTTTATATTAATTATAATAAGTATTTATATCTATTTATATATAATTTAATTCTAATTACATGATAATTGCACTTCAAAAACAAGTGTTCAATTAGTTTATGCAAACTTTCATATATTAAACTTTATGTTTGAGTCGATTATTGCTGTATTACTTTGACTATTGATGTGGATTTCGGATTTCATTTATAATTAAAATTACCTATTCTTTAAACATTTGTGATATAATTGGGGATAAAACTGATTGAATGGTTGATTGAGAGCGAGAGTTAGCCCTTAAATGTGTGAATAATTTACTTGAATGTCGTGGTCGGCGCAACTGTAGAGGGACGGGGAGAGAAACAGATTGAAAAAAGCTGTTATTATCATTATTACAACATTTATATCGTAATAATACTGTATATACTGTACTGTACTTTTAAAAGAGTGCAAACATTTTAAGAAACATAATAATAATAATAATAATAATTATAAAATTTCTTAAATAACAATAATTTAGTGAATCATTCGAGTCATACAAGTCATGATGGCTTACATGCAATGCAAATGAAGTCTTCGATATATATTTACAAGTCATGCAATTAATTAAAGTTTTCATTTAAGTGTTAGTTTTTTTACTGTAACCGGTCCTAAAAAAAGTGGGAAAAAAATATTTGTGTTAGTTTTGGTGCAAAAAATATTGTTTTAGTACAGAATATTATATAATATATTCAGTGTGATTAGTGTTATGTTTTCAAAATAAAAGTTTTAAATAAATAAATAATGGAGTAATGGAAAAGAAAGTGCAATAAAAAAGCAGTGAAAACCAAAAGCCGCGTTACGAAAGCAATTGAACAGAAACTAATTGTGCAAAAATAACATAAAATGATATAAATATAACGTTTAGTTTTAACAACGATTGCCAAACAAAATATCGGAATAATGTGTTGGAAATAAAAGGCAAACAAAATGTATAAATAATCGGTTCATTCATTGGTTTCATTGTTAAGGTTATGATGAGTTCACTTACCATACGATTAGTTATGTAATGGATTTGATGGTTTGGATTCGAGTCATACCTAAGTTTGGTTAAGACATGCGAACGACTATATCGACTAAATTAATTGCTAATTGTTATTACTTTTAAGGGTTTATTTCCAATAAATTATATGAATAACAAAGTTGTGTGAAATTTGACAGTTGTTTATCAAATGTAATCTACGATTAGATATACACTAATCGCCGACATATTAAATGTAAATACAATTATAATTCGTGTCTAAGAATTAAATATGTTATTCACATTCGTTTGGATTTAAATTATATTATTATTTGTTATAAAAACATGTTATCAAATGATATTAATATGGTTTTGCTAAATGCATTCAAACTGTTTCCAAAAAACTCTTAATTCTTTGTAATAAGTGTACAAAAAATAATACTAAAAAATTTTAAAATTTTGTTCAATAAACCTAAAAATCGTACAAATTTGTTGTTAAATAAATCTTTCATTTGATTATTCACTAAAATATACATCACTTTCTATTTCTGCATCAATTATAAGCTTTGGATTAAAATGTATTTATGAGAAGTGACTCGTTTTGTAAGACAGGGAAAGGGATCTCCGATAGAGATTAAAGTGCAGTGAATATGACTTACGGAGTGACCATTAATTAAGAGAACATGCGTTCAATGGGTTTGGCGTTAAGGAGTGATCTCTTTCTCGTTGACAACACAATACTTACATTGAAATCGAAAACTTATAATAAATTCAGTTAATGTAATGACATTTCAGTTATTCATTCGTCAGATCTATATTAGAGTTCTATATGTCTATAAATATTGTAATCAGAGTTAACAATAGTATGTGTGGACAGGTATGTGGGGCTCACAGAAGCAGTTCAAATATACCGGTAACAAAAAACTACAATAAAATGTCTTATCACAGACCAAACGAAGCCATTTTACAAAAGAATTTACAATAAATATAGTGATCGCCACAAAAGATTAACATTAAATAGTTGTTTGCATTTAAATAATTCATTAAAAACTCTTTTGTGACAAAACACTACTAGAATTAGAGAATACAAATAAAATGTAGCCAAAAGTTTGTTTTAAAAAAATCAAACACATATTAAAAGGTTTCGGAAAAATAAGGGGAGAGAGAGAAAAGGGGAGAGTAGTTATAGGTAATTAGACTTTAGAGGCAACACTTGTTAGGTGTAAATAACTTAAATCAAACAATTCAGTGGAAGTGGTAGACAGGAGAGCAAAGTATAGAACCCAAGCGCCTAATAAATAGAGTAATTCGACAATTGAATGGCGGTTACCATCAATGAACTTGCGGGCAATGAATTTTAACGTCTCGTCTAATAATATGACCGGTAATGAGATCTTCAATACAGCCCACCATTCGCTGAATGTGAGCGGACACACAGAGAATACCACCTAATGGTCGGACAGTTATCAGTTAGAATTCATTCTCAGTTTTCATTACAATCTCAAATAAATTAATGTCAGAACACATACCGAAAGTATATCGACATAAAGAATCATGAAGTGAAGGGTCATGGAAAGGGCCATCGCTGACAGTAGCCATATGTTAGTCCAGGGGGGCATCGCTATCAGCGACTGGTTCTCCGATAGACTGTATTCACAGATAAGTCAGTCAAATAAGGTTTGCTTTTAAAAACAATTAAATGAAGGACAGACCTGTTCAACGCGTTCAACATCTCGATGGTGACCAACACCGACAAAGCCATTGTCATGGGGTGCGGGTCGTGGAAGATATTGCAGTCGACGCCCTTGAAGTTGTCGGCGTCACCGATACACGACAGGTGATGAGAGAGATGATAGTATGTGAGGTGAGGGCCGTCGGGGGCCACCATATACCACCAGCATGCAGCTCCTACAGTCGCAGCGCCCACGTATGCTAGAGGGGGAAGGCATGGGTTGGTTAGTAATCAGTTTTTCATTACAATTTCAGGTGAGATGTTATACATCCGACAGCCATATAACGGAAGAACAGCCATCCGGTGATGAGTGGTTCGTTGGCTTTACGGGGCGGGCGGTCCATAATGTCCAGATCCGGTGGATTGAAGCCCAGGGCAGTGGCCGGCAGTCCGTCAGTCACAAGATTAACCCAAAGGAGTTGGACAGGGATTAAGGCTTCCGGGAGTCCGAGCGCCGCCGTTAGGAAAATACTGCAACAAAAATTAAAATATTATTTCCATTGCATTGACTGTAGAGGACAGGGAGGGGACATACCTGACGACTTCGCCGATGTTTGAAGAGATGAGATATCGAATGAATTGTTTCATATTATTATAGATGGCTCGGCCCTCCTCTACGGCCGCCACGATTGACGAGAAGTTGTCGTCGGCCAACACCATCTCAGCCGCAGATTTCGCGACAGCAGTTCCCGAACCCATAGCAATACCGATCTCAGCCTTCTTAAGAGCGGGCGCGTCGTTCACGCCGTCGCCAGTCATGGCAGAGATCTCTCCGTCCGCCTGCAGGAACTCCACGATTTTGGATTTGTGCGCCGGCTCTACACGTGAGAACAGTCGCGACCGACGGACAGCGTTCCTCTGCTCGTTGAGCGGCAAGTCATCGAACTCTCGGCCCGAATATGACATTCCAGTCACGTCTTCGTTCTCACCAAATACACCAATTCGTCTGCAAATGGCTTCAGCGGTAGCCTTATTATCACCGGTGATGACAATGACTCGAATTCCTGCGGCGCGGCATTGGTTTATGGAGTCGAACACCTCTTTGCGGGGCGGGTCCAACATACCCACCACTCCCACGAAAGTCATGTTAACCTGCGATCAAATCATGTGTTAATAATTAACAGATTTTAAAGGGTATGTTTGAGTGGCACCTCATAATTGGCAAACTTTGTGGAGTCGACCAAATCCATCTCATCGGGTCGGAGGGGGTTGTCGAGAGTGGCTAAACTCAGACATCGCAGAGTGTCCCGACCGCACCCGTAATGACGAGTTGTCTCCAAAATTTTGTTTTTCAGTGCAGAAGTCATGGGGACTTTCTTGTCGCCTACTCTCACGTGAGAACATCGATCCAACACTCCTTCCGGTGCGCCCTATAAGTCATAATTCAATGAATGCTTATCTGACAACCGGCTGATCTAAAAAGGGATCAAATACTACAAACCTTGCAGAACATCTTAGGCCCGGAGCCCAGTTTGCCGGCCTGTTTGGGCACACAGTAAGCGCTCATCGATTTCCTGTCTCGAGAGAACTCTAACGTAAAGTCTTTTCTCCACATATTCTTAATGTTTTGGTTGACAATAATCGCGGCTTCCCTTCGATTGAGGCCTCGTTTCTCAAAATTCCAGGGATTCATCTTCTCGGCCAACACGACGAGTGCTGTTTCGGTGGCTTCTCCTACCTTCTCAAACATCTGCTTATATTCATTGAAATCAATGCTCGAGTCGTTACACATCGTGCAGATGGTGGCCAACTCGAAGATGGTCTCATAGTCAGAACACTTCACTTTATTGCCTTTGAGAAACACTTCGCCGATTGGCTCATATGTAGATCCCGTCACTTCGAACTCATCCAGTTTTATGTCAGACCCGTCCGCTTCATTGATTGTGAAGAACTGATTTCACGAATCAAACCAAACATTAATGACATTAATAACCATCATTTCAACACAACATAAATAACAAACTACTCACTCGACTGACGGACATCTGATTCGTTGTGAGAGTTCCGGTTTTGTCGGAACAGATGACTGAAGTGCAGCCGAGAGTCTCAACGGATGGCAGAGAGCGGACGATTGCGTTCTTCTTAGCCATACGTCTTGTGCCTAAAGCCAGACAAGTGGTGATAACAGCGGGTAATCCCTCAGGAATGGCAGCGACGGCCAACGCAACAGCGATCTTGAAGTAATAGATGGCGCCTTTGATCCAAGAGCCTCCGTGAGCCGGGTCGTTGAAGTGACCGATATTGATGGCCCACACGGCCACACAAATGACTGAAATAACTTTCGACAGCTGTTCACCGAATTCATCCAATTTCTGCTGCAGAGGTGTCTTCACTTCCTCCGTCTCCACCATCTCTGTCCTGATCTTACCGATGGCTGTCTCCAGACCCGTACCAATCACTATACCCATCGCTTTTCCCGAAGCAATGTTTGTGCCCTTTAATCGCCACAAAGAGTTTCAATCATTCAATTCGTTTGCAAATTATTGAATCAACAAAAATACCGAAAAGATTATATTCTTCTTGTCCTGATTGACAGCCCGGGGATCGGGAATACAATCCGTGTGTTTGATAACAGACACAGATTCGCCGGTAAGGATAGACTGGTCGACGCGAAGGATTGTCGACAAGATCTTAACGAGTCTGATATCTGCGGGCACTTTGTCACCGACCGACACCTCAACGATATCTCCGGGAACTATCTCTTTGGCTCTGATCTTCTGGACGCCCTGTTTGTCCTGTCGGACAACTTTTCCCATCTCCGGCTCATACTCTTTGAGCGCTTCGATAGCACTCTCGGCGTTCCGCTCCTATGGATCGCAATATAAAAGTGTCACCAATTAGGAGATCATATGCCGATTGGTGTGAACCGATGGTATCATACCTGCCACACGCCTACCACAGCGTTTGCGATCAAAATAAGTAAAATGACAAACGGCTCGACAAAAGCCGTCACCGAGTCTTCATTTTCTTCAAAAAAGGCTAAAATCTGTGCCAAAAGTGAAGCCATTAGTGGAAAGCGTCGACAAAATTATGAGGAAATGTGGTATTAATGAGGACTGAATGGGAAAATACATACGAATGATATAATAGCGGCTAATAATAAAATCTTCACTAAAAGGTCGTCGAATTGCTCGATCACTAACTGCCAGATGCTTTTGCCTAAAGACATACCACAATCACATTATCATCCATTCATACAATCACTGCATTCAATGCATACCTTCTTCTGCCGGCAATTCTGCGGTCGACCGAAACGGATGACACGAAACGAAATGCAATGAAATGAGAAATCAATCAAAAATTGGTTTCAATTCATGTCAAGAGTTACGCGTTTTGTTTGATGGGAAACACGTGAGACTCGGATGACGTTTAAGATAATAGACATACCGTTTGGACCATATTTTTCTTGATACCTCTTCACCTGATCCTCGCTTAAGCCCTTATCGGTGTCGCTCTGGAAGTAGTCGACCACTTCCTGCCATGTCTTGGCGTGTCCCGACTCCATCACCAATCACTTTGCGGTCAATTCAGTTGATTAGACGTATGAATACTGTTAAATACACTGACTATTAGTAATGCGATCAAAAACTATACAATAAATTAAGAGTCACTACAGTGTGAGAGTGTCTCACAGACTATGGCATCACTTCATACACTATGAAACGTAACGCCTTATTATTGGCTACACTCTAACACTCCGTACATTGAGTACGACTCAGTGCTCACAAGCTATGCGTTCAATGAATTTCATTGCTTTTTACGGCACCTCTTAATCCGATTAATTGACCGCTTTTTCAATCACAAACTGATTTCTTTCCCAAATATTAGTCTATTTTATATGCCGATAAGCACACATTCACGTAAATGTGCCAGTACCACTATAGAAAATCATGTATATTTGCAAAACAAAAGTGTGAAACACATTTGTGTGTCTGTAATGATTGGCAATAAAAAGTATCTCTCATAGGATTAGCATACGAGACAAAACTGAGTGACTCTTCCAGTGTCTGTTGTCTCACATTTCATACTAAAAGCACACAAAGTGTCAGAATATTGAGCGAAAAAAATAATTAGAAATGATTTGGACGTGAAGTTCATGAGATGTGTAAAACTTTTTTGAACACTTGGTTAGCGGACGTCATATGTAAGTGACGTCTACTGTATGCCTCGTGAAGGCGTGTCCATAGAGTTAGCGATGGTTTCCTGACTCGTGATATGACGGGCACTACTGAGGCATGAGTTGAGCGCATGTTTCGCATCACTCTCTCACTGAAGACGCGATTTATAAATTTGGACGCATTTGAAGGCAATTATACTAAATATAATCCACTTTTCAAACAAAATAAAAACTAAATCTTGACTTCTATTCAAACCGCTATTAAAATATGAAGAACTGCTTCGACACTCAAATTCTTTAGACATAAAAAGCTGTACAAACTTATGACACTATTATATCAATTCATATATCATTTCATTCACCGGTTCTCTCATCGAATTAGTCATCAGAATATTCTGTAGTCGTGTTATTCACGTATGAATTCTCTATACTCTTTACATATTCATTAATTAGGGCTAAGAATCACAAGAATATAATTCTGTAGACAAATGCATGAAAAATAAACAAAACATAAGAAAAAAATTAATTTCTTGTAATTATAATCTTATGGCTTATTCTATAAATAATTCCCGAAATTTATATATAAGTGGTGTAAATATAGCATAATACATGGGGAATATTATTATCATTCTCATATGCCTTCAAATATTTGTAAAAAACTATTAAGAATTATATTTTATAAGTAATTAAACCCCAGAATATTTTATTAATTAATCATTGAATTCAATAAAGTGAGTTATGAATTGCATATTTGTTATAAATTAACATTTAATTAATCATTATTGCTGATCTATATGTATATATTTGAAAAATACCTAGCTTAAAATAAGTGAGAATTGAATTAATTAGTAAGTTACACAACAGAGTTACTGTCGACTAACATAAATGATTGAAATGTTTACGGAGACAAGAATTGCATTTCAAGTTATTGTCTAAAAATCAACCAAATATTTGAACAAAACTTTTTTATGATGAATGATTGCAAAGCAAATGATTTTAACAAATAATTATTTAATTAATAAGTTGTGCCAAAATTCTTACAGAAAGAGATGCAAAGAAATAATAAATTAGTGTTTGTGTCAAAAGAAAAAGTGTTTTGAAGTGAAAACATTTCTTTTAGGATTAGATTAAGACAAAAATGTTTGGCGACAAAAGTTTGAAGTCTTACCTCAAAAATAAAATTGTATAAACTATAATATTGAATAGTAAAACAATTTAACAGCCAATTAATTGGTTAACAATAATATGTATATACAATATATCACTCTTTAGAGCCCATAATCCCATTCATGGAGACACTAAAGTTTTTTTAATGGAAACACCACTAAAATCAGAGTTATTTCGTCGATACACTCGACACGTTATAAAACTTAAAATAAAAATAAGTTTTAAAATAGTAATCCAAATGTGAAGTGCGATTGAGTTGTGCTGCACTACAATTGAATTAAAAAGTTTTTATCAGATGAGCACAACTTTAAACTCACAAATTATCAAAGAGTACGCCTTCCTATGAGTGCGCTTGTGATGGTTGAGCCACTAATACACTCTTAGATAGTGGAGGGCTATTGGGAGTACATGAGAGACAATATGAGTGAACATCTCAAACATTGGAGTAAATGGAAACTAGGGTGACATTAAGACAATGACGACAATTCAATGTAGCAAATGATGGAAAAGTTTTTATTGTACCCAATCTGCAGCATTGTACTCGACTCGCAGTATCTTTGTCTTATAACTTTCATATCTTAAGACTACCTATTTTTAGTTCTTACAAAAATTGCACTTTTATACCATTTTTACAATGCATTTTCATTTCTTAATTACTCTCTCTCTCTCTCTCTCTCTTTCTTTCTTTCTTTCTTCAAATTGAAGTTAACTTTTTTAATATGAAAATTGTTTGAAAGGATATATTTGAGTAGAAGTGTTACAAAAATGATTTCATCAAAAACTTTTTGGCAAATCCATTCTAATCTAATCTAAGCTAACCTTCAATTGAGTTTTGAGCTAAAAATTGTTGGTTGTGTTTAGGGATAGGATTTTGTTGGGATTGCAATGCGTGACGAATGTTAGACACATTGAGTGAAGAGTTTTACTTCAATAGTGAATTGAATGAACAGAATTGCCATCAAATCATAAGATAACTCCAGTTTTAAACTTACAATTTCTGTAACACCGTAAATGTAGTCAACCTTTTGATAACGCAATGAATTTTTGTTACTTTTGTTGTTTTAATTTTAATTAAAGTGAAGTATCTGTTAGTCTTTGATACAGAATTGGCGCTTCAATTGAATGCTAAGGAAATGTAATATTAATTATAATTCTTTAAGTAAAGGATTATTTGTTTGGATTATAGGCCGTTCGCTCTACTCGTGGTTCGGGCGACACATATCTCTTGTAATTAAATTGTCATCTCTTTAAGCAAATATGTTATCATTTTCTCCCAAATACGTCATTCAAACACTAGTTTCTCTCAATCAGTCTCTCATGAAGTTATAAATAATATATTAAATCAGTTATCACTTCATTTAATGACGTTATTCTGATATAATGTCCAAATACTTCACAAAAGATCAATAATTAAACAAATAAATCGCAAATCAATTTCTTTTTATTAAGTTAAGTGTTTGGAAATATTTCGCCAATTCATATAAACAGACAAATAAATTGTTATTTTCAAACAATTCAAACAATAATCAAAATTGAATCACCTTTTCTGCCGATTACTTTAAATATCATAAGATTATTAATAACTTATTATTCAATTAACTCGACAATAGCTTTAAAATAGACGTCAAACACATTAATCAAAATTTTTTGATGAACACAACGAAGAAGAATAGATACGAAACCAAACCATAGATCACATCATTAGATAAGAAGACACGCGTTCCTAAATTAAAGCTATTTTTGAATATCAAACTCAAAATCTAAACGTAAATCTAATATGAATTTGGTATGAGTTAGCGGCGATATAGTTAACTGTTTTGCGCTAATTATTGGAATAATTTCAGTCAATCTAATTGAAGTGAAAACTTATGACTGTTTTGAGTCAATAAATAAGTATTTGTTTGTGAATTCATTGTAATTGTTGAGCAAATGATAAGAAACGCTTTGAATACTTCTAAAAGTTATGATAAGAATAATTCGGAAAACATTTTGAAAAAGTTAGTAAAATATTGTTCGCTTTAACGCCAAATGATTGCTAACATTTAAATGACAATCATTTTAGGAAATTTTATGAAAGTGTACATGACAAGAATGTCTTTAATAGACATTGTTAAATTTTATAATTTATATGAAAATTGTTTGCATTGGACTGTGAATTTTGAAACCATTGTTAATCTAATTAATTAGATATTTGTGTTAAATATTGGCTAATTTGTTGAGAACATAGTGTAGATATCACAAAATACTTACTTTACTTAATACTGTAAAACAATTATTACAACATTTATTATATTTCGGAAATAAACTCAAAGAATTTCATAGAATCATAAAAATGAGGCGAAAAATATGGGAAAATAAATGAATAAATAATGCGATAAAAAATAATAAAATTTTATTATTTGAATCAAAAATAAATGAATTTGTAGAGAAAATATAACATCAATTGTCGGAAATTTGTTTAACAGTTGAATGTAAGGCACAATCTTATGGTATGAGTTTCTATATATAACTCGAGAAACAATTTTTACAATAAAATAGATTTATTACTTAAACAGTAGAGACAAGTGAATATCACTTAAATATTTATCATAAAATGTTGTTTATTCGTATAAAACATTTTTTAATGTTTGAAGCATTTAATCAAATGTAAAGTCATAACAGCAGCGAAACCACTCGAAACAGTGAACGCAGTCCTGGATATGAATTAAATAACAAATGAATGCAAATCTTTTTAAAATAATATATTTAAGTTACTAAAAATACAAACAGATTTACCATAAAAATAAGCGCATATCCCTATTATGTTTGTAAACATTATATTCGGCCACTTTTATGTCAAAATCGTTGCGAAAGGCATCCAAAACCGATTTGGCCCTAAAATTAAGCCAATTATGCATTTGATTAAGAATTTAAACAAAAATTTCTTTTTAAAGAATTCATAAAAAGAAATAAAAAATATTTTTGGGTGAAAATAGATGTAATCTAACGCATAAATTATTTGAATTACAAGAATTACGAAGACTTAAAAAACAAATTGAAAACTTAAGCCGTTTTTCATTTATTAAAATAGAAATCATATTAACGTAAATTAAATATTGTGTCAAATATCTCAACACATAAAACAAAAACCCTAATATTTAGCGTTTAATACCATCTGTAAAATAGTGTGACTAATACTAAGAACAGCTTTAAATACATCTCTCAATCAAAAACATATATAACTTATGCGATATTTATTAAATAAATAAATAGTTATAGTATTTTGTGTTTTAAGTCAAACATCAATTCCTGAAAACAAAGTCTGAGTCAAAGAATTCAAAATCCATTTCATTTCATATCTATTCTCAGACATATTAATACATTATAAGTAGAGTTGAGTTGAGAAATAGTTTTATATATAGTACATTGGATTATAGTTTTAAAAATAGCTATAAATGGTTGGATTGGACTCATTATTACATAACCCGTAGATTATTGCTGTGATCAGAGAGTTCTTTGAGTTCTTTCAGGTGTTCTTATGTTCACATCTTTCCCACCAAAATATATTTGAAGGGAAGGGTAGATGTGATCTACAGTTATGCAAAACTCAACACAATTTGTTTTTTATATAACGTACAATATCTGTTAGACATATATAAATCATAAATTGCTGATTAAACCACTTATTTATATATTTAAATCAAAAAAGTCGAAACAAAATATCTATATTAATTAACATTCAATGAGAAGCCAGTTGCTTAAGATAGTTAAATGAGTTGTATACAGAATATATATGATATATACTGGTATTTCCTATATAACTTAGTTATACTGTATTTAAATTGTTTGATTAATGGTTAGCAGTTTTAGAATATAAATTATATTCTTTAAAAGTAGTGCTAATTCTTTCTGAACTTTTGTTTAGTATAAGAATCTTTAAATACAACACTTTCTTTATGTTAATTGAATCTAATATTTATTTATATTCCTTGTGTCGATAAAGAGTTTATCAAAATTCTTGTTAAAATCAAAACATTTG